TGACGGTGTCTGGCCCCTTGTCAAAGATAAGGTCACTGAATGTGCTTGAAGTTGTTTCTGCATCTTTTATTTTGTTCTATTAATCCTCAGGTCTGTTCATATTGGGAATTGTGATGCCTTTTGCCTTGCCCTTATTGCCCAAAATTGCTTTTGCTATTCTAGGTCTCTTCTGATTCCATGTGAATTTTAAGATTGTTTCCTCCAGTTCTGTGAGGTATGCTATTGGCATTTTGATTGGCATTGGGTGAAATCTGTATAACAGCTTTGGAAGTATGAGCATTTTCACTATAGTGGTTTTGCCCATTCAAGAACAAGGGATATCTTTCCATTTTCTGATATTTTCTATCTTCTTTTTCAGATTACTGTGGCTGTCAATGTATAGGTCTTTCATTTCCTTTGTTGGATTGATTCCTAAGTATTTCATCTCTGTTGATGCTTTTGTGAAAGGTATTTTTCCCTAATTTCTCTCTCAGTGAGTTTATGTACAGGAATGCTATTCATTTTTGAGTGTTGATTTTGTATCCTGTTACACTGCTAAATTTGTGTATTAATTCTAGGAGTTTTTGGTGCAGTTTTGGAGGGTATTCTCTGGAGAGTATCATGTCATTAGCAAATAATGATAATTTAATGTCTTCCTTTTCTACCCTTACTCCTTTTATTTCTTTCTCTTGTGTAATTGCTCTGGTTAATGTTTCTAGAACTATATTGAACAGGGATGGGGATAGGATTGTCTTGTTTTAATTTTAGAGTGAAAGCTTACACCTTTTGAACATTTAGGTGGCTTTTATCAGATTGAGATAAAGACTTTCTATTCCCATTATCTGTAGTTTCTTTTATCATGAATGGGTATTGGACTTTGTCAAATGCTTTTTTTTTCTTTTTTGCATCTATTGAGATGATCTTGTGGATTTTGTCCTTGGTTCTGCTAATGTGGTGCATTACACTTACTGATTTGTCTATGTTAAACAATCCTGCATCCCTGGGATGAATCCTACTTGATCATGGTGTATACTCCTTTTGATGATTTGCTGCGTTCTGATATGCTGCATTTCTGTTTGTCAGTATTTTTTTATATGAGAGATTGAACTCAGGACCTTGCACTTGCAAGGCAGGAACAGTGCCACTGGGCTAAATCCCTGGCCCCTGTTTCCCAGTATCTTATTGAGGATTTTTGCAGCTATATTCATTAAGGAAAATGGACAGTAATTCTCTATTTTAGTTGGATTCTTCTCTGGTTTTGGCATTGGAGTAATGCTTGCTTCTAGGATTGAGTTTGGGAGTCTTGCTTCTCTTTTAAATTTCATTAAAGAGTTTGAGAACTGATGGCATTAGATCATCTCTAAATTTCTAGAATTCAGGGGTGAATCCTGCAGTATTTTTTTCTTCTTCAACTTCATTACATTACTGAGAAATTTTATATCTTCTTGACTCAGCTTCCGTGATGATCAAATTTTAAAAGCACGATATTTTTCTGTAAGACAGATCTTCAGAGAAACTATCACACCCACTCATTACCAAAAGTCTCAGATGCGCAGAAATTTGGAAGAGAAGCTCAGACTAAGGTATCTTGGGCATCACTGCTTATGAATCCTCACACAGCCAAGCCTTTTTTCTTCAGCAATGGGGTGTTGACCCATGAATACTCTAAAGTGGAATGAGGGCCTGCTTTATTTTCACCATTTGAATACTCAGTTTTGTACTTTTCCAGACTTCACCACTTCATCAGCTCTCTGAAAGAACAGCTGCAGAAATATGGAGATGCTGGGTGTGATCTGAATCCCCTGATACCCCCAGGCCAAGGCTGCCTGACTGCCTCCTTCTTGGTTCCTTCTCTTGCCACTTGCTTACTGCTGTTCCCCTTTGCATGCTTCCCAGGACTTGGTCTCTCTTTGGTGCCACAAGATTGCTGGTTTGTTTGTTTGTTTGTTTGTTTTCTAGTCCTCCCTCCAGATTAGCCTCTCAAATGCCTATCTGCAATATCCTCATATGAGTGTCACACAGCTTTGGACACCATGTCTCACTCTGAATGCCAATTCTTTTCTTTTTAGCATGGCACACTATTCATTTGGTCATACCACCATCTGTTTATCCATTGTAATTATTCAAGTTCCTCTCCTGCCAGCCAATCCCTGTCATCGGGCAGAGCAGTTTTCTCTCTCACCCGTGTACCTGCTCTGTCAACACATACTCTCAAAACATAATTGTTAATAATTAGCAGGTGAAATTTATTTTCTCCTTTAAAATTAACTTTACATTTTATCCTATGGAGGCCAAGTTATTCTCAGATTCTTTAATATGCTCTAGTTATGTGTTTATTTATTCATTGTAGAAGCATCCACTAAACTATCATGTAATGTACCAAACTAGGTATCAAAGGACAGTCTGAACATGAATGAGCCAGGTTATCTGGGCAGAGGCCCATGGCCAGGTGATGCCAGGGTGGTCAATGAGGTGGTCAGTAATTCCATACTGAGGCAAACACAAGAGCTAGGAGGGCACAGGAAGATACTTAGCTGTGCCTTAAGAGGCCTAGGAAAGCTTTTTCAAGAAGGGAGTGGCATTTCTCTCAAGTGAAACCCATAGATCCGGTGGAAAGACAGGGATCCAGAGCAGAAATTGTATGAAACAATAATTATAAAAATGAACATTTATTCAGCAGTTGGCATGCACTAGGCTAGTCAATTCTCAATAACTGGGCTTCTACAAAGTCACCACAAACACTGAATTTGGAAATACACTGTACCCATTGCCCCTGGGGAAATACAAATGTTGGTAGTTGAAAGCCTCTGCTCACAACATTTGTGTCAACTCACCAATATATAACCTTGCTTTATGTGTTTTTACAGTCAAAGACACTTTTAAAATCAAACAACAGCAACATCAGTCACATCTGAATGAAGCTTCTCTATACAATTATCTTTCAGTAAAGCATGACATAGCTTTATGCTCAGAAGCCTGCACAGGGGCCAGGGCCATCTTCAATAACAAAATCAACCCCCAAAAAGAGCATAATGCAAAAAATGTGGCACTAAATGGTTGTGAAAAGAACACTTGTTTACAGTATGATCTGAAACAAGAAGGCAGAGCCTTGTCCTGTTTGATCTCAGCTGGTAACGTATGATTTTCACAATTTAAAATGTTCACCGCTGTGCCTATGACCCTGAATGGCCTCCAAAGTGCTGTACCTGTCCATTGATTTGGGGTAATACATTTTAGTGGGTCAATGCATTTGTAAATACAGAGCCTGTGCATAACAGGGACTGATAACAGTATTATTTCAATTAATTCTCATAACAGCACTGCAAAGTCAGAATGATGTCAATTTCCACATATAAAATGATACTGAAGTTTACGCTTACAGCTATGAAAAGAAGGAACCAGGATTCAAATCCAGGTAATCTCATTCCAGAGCCTCGACTCTGAATCATTTTATCATCTCCATAGAGGTTATGTCTCAAATTACCTTTGTTCAGTACTATTCAGGAAACCAACAGTGGCTTCTAGGGTACAAGTACACTTAGCATTCTTAAGCATTCTATAATATTTTCTATGTAAATTTCTTACACTCAGGTACAGGCTGACCACCTGAAAGAATGTCCTTTTTAGTTTTAATTTTATTACTTGAGTTTTGGTACTTTCATGTGTTTCAATCTCATGTATCCTTAGAAAATATTTTTTCCATTACTAAAGGTGCTAGTTTATTTCATTTTTATAGAAAAGTAATCATACTTCAAAAGCCAAATTTTGAAAGAACTTATAAATGTATTGCTATTAAATAGAAGCATAGATGGGGTTTTAAAAGATAAATTTTTTAATTTTTAAAATTTTGTCACAGAGGCTTGCTAAGCTACCTAAGCTGGCCTCTTGGAATATTCCTGCCTCAGTCTCCTGAGTATCTGCGATTACAGGGATGTGCCACCACGCTGGATGGACTATTTACAGATTTTATTGTTTTCTGACCATCTAAAGGACAGTATAAAAAAATCACAGTGGAGAACGAATAGACTAAATATATTTACTGTCTGAAGGATGTTGGACACTGGACTCTTCTGAGAAAGTATATGGATCTGTTTAAGGGGCTTTATTAATACTTGTTTCTATTTGAGGGTAGGTGAAATCTCTATATTGAAGACAAGAGGAAGGACAAATCTTTCGGTGGTCCCCTTTTAATGATCAAATTTTAGGGAGTGAAGAATGGGCGATATGAACAAAATAAGACATTTTCATTAGCATCTCATCAAACCTAAAAGCATTTGAAAGAGCAAAACCACTCAATGACTGGAGGGGCGTGGCATGTTCTTGGAAAGCTCCAAATTCCTCTAGAATGCACTCTGGCAGCCATAATCTTTAATCTCTCCTTTGTTGGTACAGTGAGTGACAGAAGAAAAAATGCCACTACTCCATCTGCTAGTGTCATCCATCCAGCACTGGATGGAGAACAGTAACCACTTTGTTCAAAGGCCAGCAGGCTTGAGGTCAAATTGGAACGAAGACTTGCATTAGTTATTCCTCTTGTAAGCAGGGATTTACTCTCAAATTCCTAGGTAGCAGAAGAACTGCATAAGTAAATCCCTCTCCCAAGACCAAAGGCAAAGCCGCATGCTACCGTATTTCTAGAGACAGCGTGAAACGTTATCCACCCTGGGGCGTTTGTCCCTCATAATCAGGAGGCCAAGGAGGAGTAGGATAAGGGGTAGAGTTGCAGGGCCTCTGATCTCAGGGCGGCAGTCAGAGGTACGCTCTGGGTCATCTGCGCAGCGACCTTGGCCCGCAGGACTCATTCGCCTGGCAGAGTCATCTGGGCTCCGTGCCTGCAGGCTGAATAGCCACAGCCTGTAGGGTTGGAATCGAGGCTGTGTTCCACGTAGGGTCAGCAACGTACCCGCGCAGTCCTCGCGGACCCTGCAGGCAGTTGGGAAGGACGCGCGTCACAAGCCACAGCTCGGGGAGAAAGCAGCTGCGCGTGCGCGGACTGCCACGGCTGCTGTGCCCGAGCGCCGGATGCTGTGAACCCGCACTTCCGGCCGGAGCTTTGCGGTACGGTTTCCGGGTTTCCGGGTGGGTGCGAACGAACAGGCAGGCGAGTGGACCGCGCTGCGGCGGACTGACTAGACTATGGAGAAGCTGCGGCGGGTCCTGAGTGGTCAGGATGACGAGGAGCAGGGTCTGACCGCACAGGTAACGACCCTATGCTGGCTCCGGGCCTGCTCGTCCGCGGCGAGGATGGAGGGGCGGAGCGGGCGAGGGACGTCCCGCCGGCTGGTACCAGCTTCCTGGAGGCGCGGGGCACTCTCAGGACTTATCCCGGGGCACTGCTACCCGGAGGTGCACCCCTTGCTCCCTGTGGCTTCGCTCTCTCAGGACCCCGCTTGGCCCTCATCCCGGGTGTCCTTGCCTTGCGCGCCACAAGTCTCTGTGCTGCGGCGGGTTCGGTGCAGCAGGTGTGAGCTCTAGGAAGTCGGAGTCCCTCAGCCTTGAGTCAGAGTGAAGGTAAATGAGGTGCTTGCTGTGAGTGTGTTGGGGGTCTTTTGGATGTAGGGAGACTGAAGGTAAGCGCACAGGGCATGGTTAGGTGAAGTAACACTGAATTAAATTTTCTAAGGCACTGAGGTCTAGTAAGAGTTCTTTTTCAAAAATAAAAACCTTTGTTTATTGTATTTGCACTTTACCCGTGAGACTTGATAAAGGTTACTTCCTCCAGGAAGAGGGTTAAAAAAGAAGTGGAGTCCAAACTGCTTTGTAAGTGTTTTCTTATTTGCATACTAACATATTTTTGTGTCACTGAGAGAAGTGGAGCACTTAAAGTTGCTTTGTATTATATGAGGATCTTTTCTGTTAGTTCCCTTTCTTTTCCTGATTTACTCCCTTGTCATATTTATTCTTGTGGACAGGGCTCTGGGCTTGCCTGTGAGGGTCCAGAGTCTATAACGTAAGTATGTAACTGCTCGCAGTGAACTCTATAAATCGAACAGCTAGTAAGTAAGTTTATAATGTGTCTGGCACCATTTGTGCTGTGCAAAAAGTTAAAGCAAGTGAAGAAGCTTGAGATGGCCGTGTTACATAAGGTGGTGGATGAGACTTCCAGTTAGGATAACATCTGAGCATGGATCTGAGTGAAGGACCTTTGGGATATCAGGACGAGTACTGAAGAGCCTAGCAAGCACAGGGTACAGCTGATGACAAAGCCCTGTTCAAGCCAGTACAGAGGCCAGGGTGGCTGGAGAAGAGGGAGAGAAACGGACCAAGTGTAGGAAACAGGCAGGCAGAAGTGGGATTCTCAGTCCTGTTGTAGTTTGTATGTTTCACTTTTATGGGGAATGGGTTGGGATGCCTCTAGTTTTTGAGCAGAGAAGTGATGGATTTGAAAGGCTTACTCCACCCTGGAGGACATAGTGTAGGGTGAAGGTAGAAGTTAGAAGCCCAGAGGCTGGTCAGGAGACTAGTAGGGTAGTGCCAGTAAGAGATGACTTACTGTGTTAACACAGTAACAGTGGTTTAAAAACAGGGAGGCCGATTCTTTAAATGGCTTGAATATAGAGCCACCTGTTGGTTTGACAAGATTGTATTGTGCGAGCCAGAGGAACAAAGGCTGCTCCCATGGGGTTTGACCTGAGCAGCTAGAAAGATGGAGGCTCTTTTATCTGGATTGTTGGAAGAACAGGTTCCAGGAGAAAAATCACTTCACTGTGGATGCTAAGTCTGAGGTTTCAGGTAGGCAAATGTCAAGAAGGCAGTTGGATGTCCATTTCTGGATTCTATTGGAGGAAAGATGAGGGAGATGGGCTCACCAAAGGGTTGTGTGTAAGCAGAAAAGAGATAAGACCCAAGCTTTAACCTAGGCATGTCTCCAGTATGCAAAAGTTAGAATGAGTAGGAGTGAAAAAAAGAGGGAAAGGAGTGGCACTTGAGGAAGGAGAACCAAGCACAAGGGGTGCCCTAGGAAATGAGGGAAGAGTGTTAGAAGGAGGGGTTGTGTGCTGTGATAGGGTTCCTACATTAAAAATTGAGATTATAAATGGAGGTCGTGGGTCACTTCTATGAGAAGAGTTTTGGTAGCTAGGTAAGGATGAAAGCCTGATAGAAATGGCTCAGCAGAGTACAGAAAGGAAGTGGAGACAGTGAGTGCAGTATCCTGGTGGTTTTTTCTGTAAAGCAAAGAAATAGGTTAGGTAATCAGGGTGAAGTAGGATCAGGGAACATTTTATTTTTTAAATTAGAAAATACTAGATAAAAATAGTCCAGAAAAGGGGAAAATGATGATCATAGGAAGAGAGGATCATTTCAAGGTGCTGACCAAGAGGGGCTAAACAGGAGAGGCCTGAAGGAGGCGTAGATGCAGATGTTGTGGGTGGGGCTGTGGACTCCTGATTTGTTCCTACTGAAAAAATAAGGTTACCAGCTTCAAGTTTGGAGGAGGTGGATCTTGGAAGGTCAAGGAGAAAGTGTGAAGTGGTTAACGGTAGGAGAGTAAGTCGGTAGGGATATACATAGACTTTCAGAGTACCAGGATTCTTGGAGCAAGAGTCAGCATAGTTCCAGTTTTCTCTCCAGCCAGGAGTGCATGGTGGAATTTAGATTTTATCTGGTAAATACATTAGGAAAGCAGAGGGCAAAGTTGAGTGTATACAGGGTGTGATTATAGGAGAGCCAAAGAGAATGGGAATGGGGGAATGGTAGAAAAGTGGTAGGGTTCATAGGTAAGGTGAAATACTTGAACTTGAGCTTACACAGACACTGTGGATATTACAAGGATTCTTTTTTTTTGTTTGTTTGCTTACTTGCTTTATTAGTTTTGTTTTGTTTTTTGAGACAGAGTCTTACTGTGTAGTTCAGATCAGCCTTGAACTCACTATGTTAGCCCAGGCTGGCCTCAAACTCTTGTCGATCCTCCTCCGTCACCTTGCATGTGCTAGGATTGCAGGTGTGTGCCACCACAACTGGCAGTGTGCTTGTTACTAGTAGACATGAGGTTCGGTGGCTGCAGTATTAGAAAGGATTGGGGGGAGATGATAAGGAACCCATAGCCTAGAATTTGGAAAGGATTGTTTACTCCAGTGGTGAGGCCATTAAGACTGAGATGTGGTGGACAGACAGCAGTAACGTTTAAAAGATAAGAAATGAGAACCAGGAGGGAGTTAGTAACACAATGAGAATGGGGAGTATAGGCACACTGTCAAGGGGGACTTGAAAGCAGCTGTGTCTAGTAAAGAGGAAAGGGCCGGAAAGGCAGTGTGAAGGGGGAACACCTACCCCACTAACAGTCCCAGTGGTAAGCGTGCATGGGAAGAACACAGGCCCCTGGAGAGGAAGCATGAAAAACCAAGGTCAGACACAGCAGGAAGGCAGTGGGGATGATCAGAGGAAGGTGAGGATATGCAGACCATCATCAGGTGCTTGGGGTGGGTGGGAAATGGGCTTAGATTACAGATGTACAGGCCTGGAGCAGGGTATCCTGAGTTGAATTTCTTGTGCAGCTGATCTAAGCAGGATGGGGCACACAGTGGATGAGGCCTGGGATGTGACTGGGCAAGGAAGTGCTGGAGTCTGGGCTGCTCTGTCCTGCTGCTTAGGGTGATTGAGGACTGGGACGAGGCATAGTAGCAAGAGTCTGGGCCCTGATTAGGAAATACCTGGAAAGAACTCAAGGGGGAGAGGCCTGACCTATATCTCAGATGATCCCATTGTGCTTCTCTCCTCCAGATTCCTTCCATGGCCTTTCAGACCTCCACTGATCTGACTTTGCTTCCCTCCTCCAACTCCCCCAAGGCACACTGCATCCCACCATCTGTGTTCTTCAGGCTGAGTCTTTTTTTTTCTGCCCAGGATGCTTGGCATTTGCAAACCATTTCTTTTCAAGGTTGGAATCATCTCTTCCAAGTCTTTACAGTGAGGCCCTTCTTATTTCAGTTACTCTTACCTCTGTGCTTCCTGTTTAAAACTTGCCCCATTCTCTCATTGTCTCTCATTTATTTATGTCCTTCCTCATTTTGAATGTAACCATCATAAGGGCTGAATCTCATTTATCTTGTTTCCAGTTGTACATCCAGGGCCTACCACTACCTGCAGTGTATATGTTTATAAAGACTTGACCAGACCCACAGGTGCCATGTGGTTTGGATTTGGACAGGTGCTAAAGAGGAGCACTGAGGTAATCATGTGGCAAGGATCTAATGAGGGAACATAACAGTCTACACAGGTCTTTTATTGGACACTCTCTCACACACTTTTATTTAAAAGTCTGCAAGGTGTCTTAATATGTTTGGGTACTGTAACAAAGTTTCTTAGACCAAGTGGCTTATAAATAATAGAAATTTATTTCTTACTGCTCTGGAGTCTGAAAGTCCAAGATCAAGGTACCAACCAATTCTATATTTGGTAAGATCTTTCTGGTTCCTAGATGGTACCTTCTTACTGTGTCCTCATATGGTATAGGGGTGAGAGCTATCTGGGGTGAAGTCTGTTTGGAAAGAGTACCAGTCTCTGACCTGAAAGCTTTGATACCATAACCTAATTACATCCCAAAGGCTCCACCTCCTCATATCATCACCTTGGGGGTTAGGATTTTATCGCATGAATTAGAAGCAAGCATTTAGATTATTGAACAAAGTTTGAGACAAGTCACTTGCTTGTGAATCGATTATTCCATATTTACAAATGGAAATAATTTGTTACAGTATTTTGCCTTAAAGTTACATGAAAGATGGTAATAGAAAAATACTTAGTATTGTACAAATTTAAGCTCTTGCTGCTTTTGTCACAAGACTAAGTAGTGTACTCACTGTGACACTATAAAATACATACTTGTTCTTCATCCTCTTTCCTGGCATACAGCTCCTAAAATCCTTGGAATCTCTGAATCAGTCATGTCTTTTTGTATGCTGATGAGTTGGCTGGTGGCTGGCTGCCCCTGTTGGTTTCAGATTGGAGCTTGGACCCTAGAAAGACCTAGGCAGGATTAGAAGGTGGAGTGAGCCCTTCAGTCCTGTCCTCCAAACTCAGGAAGATTACGTTGATACCAGTGGCTGATAATTTAATTATTCCTATGTAGTGAATCCTCCTTAAAAACCCCCAGGGGATAGGAGAAATTTGGAATAATTGAACATGTAGAATATTCTGGAGGGTCCAAGCCTAGAAAGTCTGTGAAAGTTCTATACCTCAGCCTCCACTCCTTGACCTAT